TCCCCCGGGCTTGTTTCTGTTAGATAACCATGATGGTCTCCCGGGCTTGTTTCTGTTAGATAACCATGGTGGTTCCTCCGGGCTTGTTTCTGTTTTTATTTCTACTTTTTAGGAATAAAACGTGACTAGAGGTTCTGAGAGCCTGTTTATGATAGGACAGTGGGAAGCGGCGTCCACCTTAAATCAAAAGATAATGGAATGATGTTTAAATGAAAGTGTGTTCCTTTCTGCCCTGTGCAGGTTCAGGGAAACAAAGTGTCAGCTGTATCAAACTCCATGCCATATTAGGCGACTGACTGTAGACCCCTGTAAAGTCGGGGGTTTTTTTCTTCTGTCTTCTGTTAAGAAGACAGTGAAGAAATTAAAATTGATCTGCTGCCCCTATTGCAATGCTTGGGATCTGTGGGTTTGTTCTTTTCTCACTTCCTTTTCTACGATGCTAATGTCTTAACAAAACTTAGGTACGTTTGGCGCTATGAGATCGACCCAGGAAAACCGGACCATGTACAACAAAACATATCAATATTTTCTACCAAAATGTATTTTAAGTTAAATTCAGGTACAATATCTACTGTTCCCAACTTTCACTTTAGAAATGAGATATGGAAAGTATTTTTTTAAAGTACTTGTGTGACTACGTCAATGTGGCTTAAAAAAATGGACGCACTGCCACTGTTGAATTGTTCTTTTTATAACAGTTGATTGAAGTTAATGTTTTTCACGCTTTCTCAGATTACCTAATACTAATGTTGCAGACCTATGTGTACCTTTCAGATAAACAAAATATTCTGATCTACGCACCTTCCTAAACCGCCAACAGACAAGTCTTTAATGGTGGCCTAACATTTTATTTTATTTTTTACTTTTCATGCATTTCTTTGCAACAATTCTACGTTGTAATCAGCCCATTTCATTAAGTCGCCCGCCCTTCAGTCGTCCTTACACCTTCAATACTAGTGTAAAGCAATAACCTATTTATTTGATCGTCCCTCCGTTAGGGATACAACCCTTTATCACATACCTGTTGAATCTTTGTTTGGTAATACAACGTTCTGTATTGTAGCCTGAACTACTTTGTATGGGAATCCCTTTGTCATGGTGACCTGAAAGGTTCCCGGTATTTGCAAAAAGAATCGAAGTTTATAAACTCTTTGTATCGATCTCTACCAGATACGGCAGGTATGTGATAAAACCAAGACCACACACTTGTGTTTTTCTAACGAATCAGAAAGCACTCATTTATTGCGCGGACGTATATATATATATTCGTCCGCGCAATATACCCGTGCTTTCTGATCTTGCATTTATATTCATTACCTTCTTCTTCATCAAATAATGGTATCCATGCACTCCTGAATAACATCCATGAAACCGTGATGTTATGTCTGATAATAAACGTTTCAATATAACCATAAACACATTATTGAACGAAGGGAATACAAATGTCAACACAATTATTTCCTTCTTTCATTAGGATAATCCTATATTGGGTGTAACGGTATCGGATGGCGCTCCTATGGGAGTTCTTGGTGGTTTGAATAAATAAATGTCACCCGACCATACACCATGAGTAATGTGTAGAGCAAATACACTTTAAAAAATGCCTTTCATACGTGATTCCCAGACATTTCTTCATCAATAATATAATTACTTTACAGATGAGAATAGATTGCATAAAAAGGACATATCTGTTTTAATCAGAAACCTTTGAAATCAAGTACAGGGTTTCTTATCATGAAACCGTTTTCATGCTCCAACTCGGATTCTCGCAAGCCTTACTCGTTGCTCCCGTGATAAATTCATAATTAAATCACATTTTGTTATTGAGTTTGAGGAATTTTGGAGACAATAAAAGCCGAAAACCGTTTTCAATGTTTACAGTTATGAATGTGTAGCATGATTTAAAGGAATTACAGGGTTGCCTTAAGCACGGAATGCATGCTTGAGTATTGGAATGGTTTCATGAAACTCGAGTCCAGGGACCGTATCCTTGAAACGGTTATCATGCTCAAAGCCAGATTCTGTGTCTCAAGTCCAATATCGTGTGCCAGTGATACATAAATAAAATTATCATATTTTGTCAATGATAAGAAAGAATTTTGTAGAACCTTTTTAGCCGCATACCGTTTTCAATGTTTAAAATTGACTTGTTGACAGTAACAGTACAAGAAAGTCGACTTGAGTATGAGAATGGTTTCATAAACACGGATCCAGGGGCCTGTTCGTTTATGCGGAACAACCGGTGTGACCGTTTATAAAGGTAACAATTTCGAGTATATGCAGGCATTGCAAGGCTTTATCAAGGCTCGCCTGAAAGCAGCATCAGATTTTACTGAGGTCCGACCGTTTAAACGAAAACGGCCCAAGTATCTAACAGTTCCAACACCACTGCTATAGAGTATATTCTGTATGGACACACACCCTACATGTAGGATATGCTCGCCTAGTATCATATTTGTATAAATATAAGTTATGTAATAATCGTTAAGTGTTTTACATTCATAATGCGTGTAAATATTGTCTCGTTTATTGTGTTCTTCGCCACTTTTGTGAAATAAAGAGTATAACTAAACCATTGTAAGTTTCTAAATTTGTAACAATTAATACCAGTTGGGCATTCCCTTATTAAATCTTGAAATGTTTTCAGGACAGATCCGCCCTGTTTAATTGAGTCGTGGGTTCTAGTCAATGTGAGATTATTCATTAATCGATATATCTAACATGAATATATTTTTGTTATTAATGACAATGTATCGGTATGTTTGCGATTTGAAATTTGAAAAGCAAGTCTGGAAATTCTCCTTTTTACTGTTAACGATTATTACTTACATATATTTTTCCTTTTTACCTATAAAACATGTACCAGCTAAATACTAGAACTGTAAGCCAAAGGCTAACTAATACCCCGGCTGCTATATAAACCAGGACTGTAAGCTAATGGCTTATTAAGGCAAAGCATTGCAAAGCAATCCAGTCTCCCACCAGTAATGATTTCTTTATTGAGTGAGTTGTACACTTATTTCAGTATACTGGTCACTGACATACTTCCTGTACTCCCTCCCTCCCCATGCCAAAACATTCTTACATACCAAATCTTGCTAGCCAAGATGAACCAGTTTTGCTAAAATTGTCCTATTAGTTAAGGAAAAGATATCAAGACAAAGATTTTTAACAAAGGGTCATGACTCCTTAAAAAGGGTCGACATTAAAAAAAATACGAGCCTGATGCACGACATCAGGGGATAATTGCAATATCTGTAAACTTTCATTGAAATCGGCCCAGTAGTTTATGAGGCAGACAAAGGTTTATTCAACAAAGGGCCATAACTCCTTTTAAAAGGGTTGGAATGGCAAAGTACTACATGGATGCACAATGTCAGGGGGCAGTTACCATATCTGCAAAAACAAGAGGCCTGCATCGCTCACCTGGAATTAATATAACACTTGTAATCTTAAAAGTGGACAGAAATACAGCTACAGGCAGAATATCAGTGTTTGATTCATAAGAATCCTAGTCTTCCAACCCAGCATGCTTCTGCCAAAATATCGTTACCCTGGACCTTTTGGTTATAGAGAACAAATCATTTAAAGATTTAAACATATATTGACCACTGTGAACTTGAATATGGGCGAAGGTCATTCACTTGGTATTCCGTCTTTGCGTATTGCAGAGTTATCTTCTCTTGTGAGCAGGGATTGATTGTTACGTCATTGGTTTGATTGAGAAAATTATGTCGTTTTCTCAAAAATTGATGACGTTACTCTCACAAGCAAACGACGTAAGAATCAATACCTGCTCACAAGAGAAGATAACTCTGCAATACGCAAAGACGGAATTCCTTCATCCCAGCATGATAATGGCCAAATATCATCACCCTTTGCCTTTTGCTTATTAAGAAGTCGTTTAAAGGTTTTTAACATATTTGACCCCTGCGACCTTGAATATGTATCAAGGTCATTCATTTGAACAAACTTTGTAGTCCTTCATCTCAGCATGCTACTAGCCAAATATCATCACCCTAGGCCTCTGGGTTATTCAAAAGAAGTTCTTTTAAAAGTTTTTAACATATCCTACCCTTGTGACCTTGAATATAAGTCAAGGTCATTCATTTAAGAAAACTTGGAAGCCCTTTATCCGAGCATGTTACTGACAAAATATTATCACATTATACCTCTTGATTATTCAGAAGAATTTGTTAAAAGTTTTTTTTCATTTGGACAAACTCGTGAGTCCTTTCATCATCATCCTAGGCGTTTTGGTCATTCACAAGTTGTATTACAGGTTTTTAACATAATTGACCCCTGTGACCTTGAAAGTGGGTCAAGGTCATTATTTTGAACAAACTTGGTAGCCCTTCATCCCAGCATGCTACAGGCCCAATTTCAGTACCCTGGGCCTTTTGGTTATTGAGAAGAAGTCGTTTGAAGATTTTAAGACATTTGAACCCTGTGACCTTGAAAGTGGGTCAAAGCCATCAGCCAAATATTATAATTCTATGCCTTTCGATTATTCAAAAGTCTTGTGATGTTTTTGACATATTTGACCATTGTGACCTTAAAAGTAGGTCAACGTCATTTTCATTCTCAAACTTTGTCGGGTTCAATCCGTGGAAGCCACCAGCCAAATATGAAGATTGTATACCTCTCAGTTCTTCAGAAGAAGTTGTTTGAAGCGTTTGACTTATTTGACCGCTGTGACCTTGAAAGTAGGTCAAGGTCATTTTCATTCTCAAACTGTTTCGGGCTCTATCCCAGGAAGTCATCAGCCAAATATGAAGAATCTATACTTTTCAGTTCTTTAAAAGAAGTTGTTCGAAGTGTTTGACACTCGCTCCTACCAACGAAGCTTTCAGTCAAATCTTCAGAAGAAGTTGTTTAAAGGAAAAGTTGACGAACAACGAACGGACGCCGGACGCCGCACTATAACATAAGCTCACTTGCCTTTCGGGTAGGTGAGCTAAAATCACTCATAAAGATTATGAAAAACGAACACCTTTATACCAATTGCAATGTATTTATTGAAAAATAAAAAGCAATTATAAACAGCTAGTCAAGCTTAAACACTGACGTGACATCTTTAATTATTTCTAACAAAAAAATGTTAGTGCTTGCATGGATGAGCAATGATATACATGATACATGAAAACTACAAGACTAATGAACCAAAACTTAGGAAAAAAGAGTACAGAACACCATCCAAACTGAACACTATCTAATTCGGATTTTTGTCAAAAACGTTCAACAAAAAATCTACAATCCAGAACTATCAGCAAACCAACCAACAGTGGTTCTACAGGTGTCCAGTTTGTACAGAGTGTGCTGTAATAGTAGCAGCTTATCGTATAATAATTAGTGTCCTTAATTTAGAATTATTAAGAAGTTTCTGTCTCACGGGACAATGAATACAATAGTCATGTACTCTGTCTAAACCTGGCTCTGTCAAATTCAGATTTTTTTGTCAGAACCAACCAGAGAATTTGGCTCCAACAATGACACTCTTTAACCAATAGAACCTCTTCAATCTAGAACTCTCAGCAAACCAGCATTATTATGTTGTTCTATGTGCTCAGACATAGCAACATTAGACAATTGTATATTGTGTACACCGTACTGTAGGAATTATTCCTTGCCCCATACATACATCAATTTCCTACACATACAGTTCAACTTGCACTACTGGACATTATTGATGTCAAAACATTTCGAGTTCATGCATAAAATTAGGTAACAAATGAAATCGATAATAAATCTTGATACCTCAGAGACCAAAACCAAATGGAGTGTAACAGACTGAAGCAAAGCGACTTATACCTAATGGATGCTAAAAAGTACTATGAAAATATCTCAATATCTTAAGTAGTGATTAAGATCATCAGTCAGTTTAAGTCAGGGCTGAAGGTGTACATGCATCGCATAATAAATTAGGAAATAGATTCAAAATATTAGTTTTTATGTAACGTAAGACATTTACTGATGAGTGATTATTAATTATGTATTTTTTATACATCATTTTCACAAAAGGATGATTTTCATAATGTCAATACAATATCATCCTCGATACCCTATTAGTATCTCTCTTTGCAACAACCAAAGTAAGCGTAGCCCCTGGAATATCGAGGATGATGTAAAAACTGGGAAGTAAATATTGTCATATAAATGCAATACAAGGATAGTAAAATGCATGTGATTGTGATCAAATGCTGAAAGTTTGATTATTTTAATATCTCTAACTTCATTATATAATTAAAGGTGATTCATATAACTTCTGCAGTGTTTTTTAATGAACAAAAGCAAAAACAAAATGGTAAAGCTAATCTAAGTGTTTTTATTTTTTTTGTATATTTAGTGAACACTTACAACTGTTTGACTTCATTCATTCAACAAAATAATTCGTCTGTCTCTTCAATAATCTTATTCCGGAATTCACAGTCCTGGACCCAGCAACACGTTAAGAATCCCTGTACCACTGCCAGAAAATGTAATTACCAGTATCAAAAGATTTTCTATTCAGTTATGACCACAGCATTGATTAATCATTTGTAAAAAGCAACTCCTACCCTGCAGAGCTGTTATGGGGGGCAAAATAACAATAATAATAAGATTGAAAGCAAATAATTTGACAACAGTGTTCCGAGTGTAAAAATGAAATAGAGACAGAAAAGGATTTGAACTCTGTAGTTCTGATTATCAAACAATTGGAGTAACACAATGAGCTACCTGGTCAACGGTAGTAAACATGAGAAAAGAAATTAAAGGGAGGCTACTGTATGTAGAAAAAGACGAATGTTCTAGTATTTTTTGCCAGCAGTTGGACTGGGATCTTTAAGTTAAAATATACACAAAATACTCACTAGCTCTTCTTACATACTGTTTAAACAAAGATACCTAATTTGAAAACTAGTTTAATGTATCATTGAAATAATCAAGTCCCATACAATAATACATTTAGCTTTACAAAACAAGCAGCACTGTATTTTCAAAACGAAGTTACTACTTCTTTAACAAGTAACACACAAAAAAAATCATTTCTATTTTCAATTTTTTCTCTCTTCAAATCTGACCCCAAAAATGTACCTGCGCACTCGGGTATACCCTCAAATTTACGGTACATATCGTGACTGAGAGAAAAAAATATGATAATATGCCTCATATACAGATAATTTTATCATTATATTTTCCTCTCTGAAGCCATATGTTCCTGTACTTCTTTTTGGCAAAAAAAACCCCAAAGTTTCATGTTACATGTCTGAAAAAAATAGAATGGGTAGGTAGATTTTAAATTTACCCTTTTAAACGTGTTTTCAGGTTTTTATAGGAGAGAAGTCTTTACTTTAACAAAGCTTTCTTGAAAATTGCCCCCAAAAGGTTTAGAATCGGCACAAAAACAGGGTAGTTAGGGTATCAGAAACAAACAATAATTTTTATTTGGCCATTTTTGAAATAGTTATACACAGAAAGCACAATTTTTTCAAAACCAGCACTGTATTTTCGCTATAAAATAATAATTTTACAAAAGTTGTACATTTTCAAAATATGCTTTTGACAAGAAAACATTTTTTCTTAAAAGTAAGGTTTATCATATTAAATGGTACATGTTAAATGCATGTACATTTGTCAACTTTGGTGTTCCAACAATGAAAAGAACATCAGACCTTGTTTGAAAACTTAAATCCTATATTTAAATCTTATAATAAATTATATCATTTCTGTTCATCAAGTTATCAACTTTTATTCATCGGTCTGACTGATAAAAATAATTAAATCTTCAAGATTATATATACAGCACTCATGATCAAAATACATTTAACGGAGTAAATTCCTTAAAACTAAAAACTATGTGTGTTTCAGCTACCATGCCAGATAAAAAGGGAGGATTGGTTGGCAAATAATTTGATGTTTTTGATTTTTTTTTAATTTTCATTGATCAATATAATGCTTTCTACCCTATTTTACAATGTATTTGATTTCTACACATTATAACTGCCCTTAGGTTGTCAAGTACGGGGCCAGGCAGGAAGAATGCACATCTTAATGAGTGACTGTGCACTTTGTCTGGCTAATAAATCCATCTTGGATACAAGTACGGCAAGTGATAAAATGTTTTAGGGTTGGCAGAAAAAACTAGATAAGGTCAGGACACCTGAAACACATATAATGTTTTAGTTTCCTTTTTTAATTTTGCCTTATTCTGCATCACCATTCATTGTCCACTTTTCAATGGTGGCCAGACCTTCGCATTCCTCACAAGATCCTCTGTGCAGATGTTCCAACTTTAGGTATTTCCCGTACTTCAGACTTCTTTGACTGCTCTGTCAATCTCTTCCATCTGATCCTTCAGGCTGTTCCACTGCTCCAATGTCAGGGATATACCTTAGAAAACATGTGACACACTAATTAAGTATTATTCCAAGAGGCTTACATCATCAAGTCAGCAAGTGAAATATTAATTGTGAACTGCATTTCAACACGAAATCCTAATAATCCCGTTATAATTTGCAATCTTTTATTTTGTATTTATTTTTGTAATACCAAAAAATGAGGTGTTACAATAAAAGATACTTGGACTTCAGTCCCTTGAATATGTGTGTAGGGATTCAAGTAACATGTTCAAGTCATATGATGACGACCATGTTGAAAGACAATATAGAAAGGCAGCAACAGAGCAGATCCCCACTTTAATATAATTAGGGAATCAACATAACAAAATGCACAGAACTAATACTATGTTTCATCATTTTGATTTTGATCATAATTACATACAAAAGTACATCCAAAATAGTTAACAGCATGATCTAGTTATCTCTTAAAGCGATAATTTAGTGAAGTAAGTTTTTTTATAACCTTGTCACAAAATTCTATAAGTACATGATTATATAGTTTGATACTGCTTATGAACAATTCATGTCGAGAAATTGATAAGAGACTATGTTTTCTTGGCGTTTTTAATCAGTAAAGGAGAAATCCTTAACTGTACAGCCATACGTTTTAGCGGCAGCTGTCGGTGAATTTCTAGCAAACAAAAATGTCATTGCAGGCAAGGAGAGATATGGTAACTTCTCACTTTATTTATCTAGCGTCTCTAGAATACAAGTACATGCATTTATTCATCTTCCAATGGCATCTCAAACATCGTTATAAATGAGTGATATAGTTTCCGTTTAAATCATTGATATCATACTTTCCGCGGTTTGACATTCTCCCTGCAGCACCCTCTCAGTGAACCTGTTTGTTTTTATTCAAATCCAAATGTGAACAGAAATATCTGATTAGAGGTATATATTATGATACTTATAATTTTTACTCGCGATATATTTGTGTAAATTCAAGAACGTGTTATGTGTGAACTCAGACTCATAACTGACAGTGTTGTCGGTCGAAAGCTTAGTACTTTACATGTTTTCTTCTCACTGAAAGGCCTGGATATTGCGCTATTTCGGTCATAGCTATATTTATCACCGGCTTTCCCAAAGAATGAAACTGACCACACTGGATGTTGGCTTCAGGTCTTGTCATTATTAACTATGTAAACTTTCGTTAGGAGATATATCTTTTTAGTATATACTTGACTTTTAGAGTGTCATTTGACTAAAAAGCCCCTTTAACCATACAATGAAAGATAACTGATTAGTATTACAAACATTTAACATTAAGTTACCTCCCCTGGTATATTAAATCCTCATACAATGTAGTATATTGAGACTCTTTTGTCTATGTATATTATATTTCAAACATGTCAGCATGTTATTGGCCTAATATCACCACCCTATAGATTTGGTTATTGAGAATAAGTGGTTTAAAGAAAAAAGTTGGCACCAGAGAGATAACAGATGCCGATCACTTTGGGCCAGGTGAGCTAAAATATATATACGCTCTGTAAGGAGTTGCCTACTCAATCAAAAGTCAACAAACAAAAGACAGACACCGATTGTTTTTTTTAATTATTTATGAATATGTCTCCTACCTTTTTTGCCTGGTCGAAGGTCTCCATCAGCTTCATAGTACTCCCTTATTCCAACCAAGACCTTTCCACGGAACTCACTGACACTAACAAACCGCATTTTTGAAAGCTGAAAGATTTTAAATAACATTGACTTAAAAACAAGTCTTTTTTTAAACCACATACAAAAACATGTCAAGATAACGAATACGTCTTATTTGCAATAAAAATTTATAATAATATTTACATTTACAATAATTATTAGATAAGAATTATTTATATGAATGCAGTTTATAATAGTGGTCATTACCCTACTTTTAACACTGAAGCAAAAATTGTCTAGTATTTAGAAAAGGTAAGAGAGAGTATGTACAGATGTCTAAAAATCATCACACAACTCCCTAATCCGTCTTTGCGTATTGCAGAGTTATCTTCTCTTGTGAGCAGGTATTGATTGTTATGTCATTTGTTTGTGAGAGTAACGTCATCAGTTTTTGAGAAAACGACGAATATTCTCACACAAACAAATGACGTAACAATCAATACCTGCTCACAAGAGAAGATAGCTCTGCAATACGCAAAGACGGAATAAGTCTAGACTAATAATAATAATAATAGAAGATCTTCTGTCATGATTATCAAAAGGAAAAGAATGAACCTGAAACATCTGTTCTCCTGCGGCTCCTGTTTTTTTTGGCACCACTTTAGAATTGTTCTCTGTTTTTTCTTCTTTATTTTTAGGCTTTTTAGCTTCTTTCTTCTTCTTCGGCTTTGGCTGTAAAGAAATGTATCAAAGATGTATTTGTCACACACGTAGCATAGCTCCACTGCAGAAGTCACGTAGCATAGCTCCACAGCAGAAGTCACAGTAATATGGCCAAAGTACCCCCTTTTGACTCCTCCCCTTACAGCCTCCTTCAACTTTTGATCTCCACCACTTTTAGATATTCAAGTTCAGTAGTTCAGCAGTCAGAGAGAAGACAATGGATGCCACACTAGGACAGAGCCAGAAATGGCCCTTAACTCCCCTAGTCCTTTCCTTGGTTTAGGGATAATCCTTACAAAAGGATACATATATGTATATAAAGATCCCTAAACAGAATAAGACTTTTAAAAGACTTAGCACCCCTCTGTTTGCCTTTTTGGACACTAATTGACCATAGGAAGGCCAGATACTTCATTTATACGACTTTGCATTCCATGGCCTAGGATAAATGATCCAAAAACATTAAGCTTTGAATCCCTTTTTATGTATTAAGGAGTAGTCTTTTAAATATATATATTTATTCCCATTTTCAATGTTCCCTAAAACCCTTAAATGAGTTTTTTTTATTACCTCAAAATAGTTTATTGTACCGACTATTTTAAAAGACTGTTTAATTAACAAATTAACAAAGGACCTGGAGGTACAGAATCTTGAAAAACTTTCTGGTGTACCCCCAAATTTTACATCTTAAATCCATTCAGAAAAATGACTTTGGGCCTCATTCAACTAAATTACCTTAGCCTAAGGATGCTCTATACTAAATTAAGTCCAAAAAATCTTCAACGGTTAAGGAATACATGTAGTAGTCTTATAAATTTAAACTTTAATGAAAGACAATTTAAATAGATGCTGCAGCGTTGAAAATATCATTTGGACCTCTTGGTCTTGTAACCGATAAATAACACTAAACACTAATAATCAGAACACAAACTCACCTCATCTGTTTCTGATTCTGATGACGAAATAAATTCTTTAGATTTCGGCATCTTTCCAGTAGCTATCAAAGGAAAAGAAAGATATTAATGACAAAAAAGGCCCTTTCCAAAATAAACAAAAACACCCTGAAATATACATTTTAATACAAAACATTTTTCAACAACTTCATGAAACATTGCAATTTTTGAACAGTTAATCTAAAGTTGAAGTTGCAATTCAATTTACCTGAATTTCAAAGCTTTATACTGCAAACAAGAAACTGATATCCAAATTAAACATTTGAATTAATAGCAAAAGGGAAGAACCATCATCACCTATTTAGTTTTATTTCATTAACCACTGGGGACCATTTCTTTAGAGTCTGAAGGTACAGGGTCTGAAACCTGGACAGTATCAATACGAGTCTATTTTTTTTTTAAAGTACCTTGGTTGTGTTTCATTGTGATTACGTAAACCTCAAGGAAGGTCGTATATTTAACAAAAAGTATAAAACACTGACCATGTAATGTCACTATTGTGTATAGTATATGACAGAGCAAACAAAGTAAAAGAGAAATAATATTTCACACACTTTGACTTGTGGCAAGAAGAGGGATCTCAACCGAATGCTAGTCGTTTCGGTAACAGGTCGTTTCGGTAACAAGTCGTTTTGGTAGTCCCAAAGTCGTTTCGGGACATACACAATTTTCACTTATAAATAACATTTCGCTCCCGTTTCATAAAAAGTCATGCATGACCTGATTGTATCACGACCTACCCTTGCTTGGGATCTTTAGAGTGATAAGATTGCTAGTGCTTGAGGGGATACCTACCAACATTTACCAATTGACAGTGTGTTGTTACCTGATGAAACTAATCTCATTATTAAATACAGATCTAGAGGAACTTATGATATTCAACATCAATTTCTTTCATTACAGATAGGTTAATTCCTTGTTTGATATTGTAATAATACGTTTTCAATTCACTTTATTCTCCGTTATTGTTAGAGACGAACGAGTTAACAGTGATTCCAACAATGTTTTAAGCCTTTTATTTTTGCTATAGATTTTTATTGAAATTAAATTTCATGAAAATAAAAAACGTTAAACACGTAGAATATATTTTAGACATGTGAATCAATTCATCAAATCCAGCAATATAGTTTGAACGATGTTTATAAATACTTATTCATGTGTTATCAAAATCATGTAATGGTAAATGATGTAATAATTTTTATCCAATCGATTGTCTGAATTTAGTTGAAATTAAAATATGTTTAAAGAAAAAAGACAATGGCATCTACAGAAGAAAAATAAATGAAAAAATCCCAAAACAACCTGAAAAAACATTTCAAACATATGCAGAAAGGCATCAAGGCAGCTTGCTGTATTGAATTGAAAAGGAATAAGATTATTTTTACTGAGAACAGTCAAGAGGGCTCATTTACAAATCTTTTATTCTACAAAATTTTGAGTGCTGTCCTTTAATTTGGCATTTTTGTAGCAAGTCTGCCACCAACGAGATGGAGTAATTACAAGAAAGAGTCTTACGTTTTGATTTAGATGACTAGGAGTCTGATCTTAAAACACTACTGTTTCAAACAACTTCTTTTTTCGTGCACATAAAACGTATGAAAATGATGGCATGTGAGATTTTTAAAACTGTTAACAATAAGTCTCCTGGGTATATATACAGGAATTGATAATTAAAAAAGCATCCAATTATAATCTATGGCAAGAGGAGACTGTAGATGTATTCCTAGGGTAAGAACTACCATGTATGGTAAAAATTCATTTCGGTATGAGACTGCCCGCATATGGAACCGTCTGCCCAATGACCTAAGAAAGGCTGATAACTATAAGGATTTCCACAGACAGCTGCATGTGTGGGACAGCCTCAACTGTAAGAGTTCCATGTGTACAATGTAATACACCCTGCAAATTTTTCTGCCCTGCCTGGTGGTTCTCTCCTGTCATGTATATAGTATTGTACCGAAAATATAAACCTGCAATCTGTGATAAATTATGTGCTACTTTTAACTTTTTAAATATTTTCATGAATTTTAGTGCTTTCAAATCTTACCACAATCTTACCAGTACTAGATCTAATTATATTTTACAAAATATGTGTTCAATACATATTTTTTTCTCAATTTGATTCTGTTAATTTTTAAGCATACAAGTCCAGTCTTTTAACTTTAAGTTCTGTATGTGATGGAATTGATATTTATATATCTCTCTTAAACTACTATGATGCGCGCATAAGCAGGCCTCACTGGTAGAGATATAGCTTGATAAAATGGTTGCGCGGAAATACATAACTTTTTAGTGTATTCGAGTTATCTTTCTTTAAACACTACTAAATCAAAATAGACACACGGAAACATATGACGGCTACTTCCGACGAGAGAAATTTGTTAAAAAAAATGTTTGTTCTAAAAAAAAAAAAATTATGTTGCTTGTTTTTTGTTTCCATTAGTAGACTGTAAACATGTTTATGATAGTCATCCGTAATTTCAACAGTTTTCTGCCGATATGAGTACGAAATCGCGGTTGCTTCTTGGTGCGCGGAAACCGGTAACACGAGCCTACTAGCCTAGTAAGTTATTGTTGTAATCATGTGTGGTAGCGAGTCCGTGTGGAGTAGCCTCCCCTTACCCTATGTGAATATAAACCACATATTAGCCTACGAGTGAGAAAAACAATCGATATCAAATATATATCAAGAACAATTAATACTGAATATGTATTCAGTTTTTGTTATACTTTTTTCATCTGCGATATCTATCGATTTATTACTGCAATCGACTATCGAAAATTAGCGGGAAATAAGCCAAACTCAGAAACGTATTTCTCTGCCCAGCTTCATCAGTTGTTTGGAAGTTTTGTTAAATTCTAATCATGTAATGGTTTACTTATTTTTTTCTCAACCGCAATATTACACACGGTCATGCATAAGGCGCATTGTCAACTTACACAAGCAGAATTTTCCTCCGTAAATAGGATCAGTGTGAGACCGCGGCGCACAGGTATTGCTAATTACGGTCCGGCTTGAGATTTGTAGAGCCAAGCACAGCCCGGATGTCCGGGCAATAATCATGACGCACGTGTGCACGACGTGGCACATATCATTTTAATCAGAGGCGTAAATGTAACATAAATGCCTCTGTTTTAATATAAGCGGTACGGTAGTCTACTGGACGCTTCGAGGCTTTGAAAATGCATCGCTTCTGTTCTGTGTCTACAGGTCTACAGACATATAATACATGTATGTATTATACGTCTCTGACAGAAGTTAAAATGCGTCTCTGGTTTTAGCGTATAATTTTGCTATTAAAATTACTGGCTATGCTGGTTAGTTGATATCAGGTCATTTCACTAATCTATAAACGGTTAAAAGGCTCATTTGAAGTTTTCCTACGTCTAAATGTAAGCTTAAATTGACAGCGAAAAATCCTGAGTTCGACCACAGTATTTTTTCTGCTTTCTTTTTTTTTATGTCCACTTTCAAACATATTCAAATTTCAAATAATTGTATTTCTTTACACCACCTTTCAACATGTGCTTTTCATACAACATTTCTTTTGAAAAAAATACTTATAAACAATTATTTCACAATATATTCAGGGGCGGATACAGGAATTTATTCAGGATATTGCCCAAACTTAAAAAAATAACTTAATTTAACCAGAGACGTATATTAGATATTACATACGTCTCTGGCATAAAGGCTCTACCTTATTTATAATTGCGTAGAGGCAGGTGCGACCCATGCGATATATAAAAGGTCGTGAAGTTGGTGGGAAAACCTGACGTCGCCTGCTTAATGACGGTAATTATGCTGATTTGAATTACGGTGGGCCGAACTTACTCCAAGGCAAGTCATCCAATCTTTGGACAGAAAAAGTTGAAATATGCATATACATTTCAACAAACTCCATACAAACAGAACGACTTTAATCAAAATGGGCCGAATTTGCCCCAGTCTTCCCTAAATAGAATATGTTATTATTATTATTTACTTTCGCCGAGTGAAAACTAATCAAGAAATAGAGTTGACACTCACGTTTGATTGACTGTGGCAACAAATTCGATCGGAGCTCCCGGTAGATGATGTGCTCTACAGCATGAGGTGATGCTTAGGGTTGTGAGGGAGAGGGGTACGAATATGTTGTTTCATTGTGTGTGTTTTTGTTTGTATATAATGCATAGGTACATGCCTAAATTATTTGATAACATTACTCAAAATATAGTTATTCTTTATTCTTAAACTTATTCATTCAACTACAGCATTTTCCTGTTGTATTTTGCTTGCAGTATAAAATAGTAACTTCAAATCACAGCTTTCGACAACTGTGCAACCATATATTTCATATATCCATATATCCCTCATTCCAAAATCATAACAATCAATACAGTTACCATCACTATATTCTGATTGATATTCATTATACTGAATTTTCACTGCATGGTGACTTTTCACCCCTGAAATCATCCTAAACAATAACATCGATGCAGGAGGAGCTAGAGACGTGTCGGTCCCATGTTAAGTGATTTTGCACAGACATTGAGGAAATTGAATAATGTTGTAAAAAATGAATAATTTGTTTAAATTCCTCTTTTAGGATAAATTAAGCATTAAAAAAACTTATATATGCTGTACATTGTTCCTCAATTACTAACGAAATGCATGCTTTAGCAAATTCTATGATACTGGAAAACAACATATAGTGTATCACAATCACAATTACGACTCTTAATGATCGTATACACTTGAAACCACAGGTAAAATACAGGTACAAATGAAAACAGGCTTAAACCTTCATTCATACCTTTATTCCTCCATAATTGAAGAGTTACATACATACATGTATGCATAATGAATAATTAGTAAATTAGTACAGAATACGTGCAAAAAAAAGTATGTAGCAAAATAACAAAAGTAGAATTAATACATTGACAGAAAATGTGCTGCACTTTTGACTTTAAACATATTTTATTGTCCAAATATTGGCACAAAAGGATCAGGCACAAGTTATTTCAACTTATGAAGCCGTCTCCTATTGACATAACAAATTTACAGACAAATGATTGCACAAATAATTATAAATTCAATTTTTAAAACAAGTCAATTTTTCACGGGAATAAACATATATAAGCATAAAGTTCAAAATCTTCCGCTGGATTTAATGAATTTTTGCACATGATCAAATAAGTAATAATTTTCCTCCAAAGCCAACAACTCATTTCCAAATAATAGTAGTTTTAAACTTATTTGTGTATTTAAATTACTTAAAACTTGAAACATGTCAGTACGAACAGTTGCATAACGTTGGCACTCAAAAAAGAAGTGATATGCGTTTTCACAATGATGTAAACAATTTGGACAGTGTGAGTCAGTAACTAAGTTTGCAAGGAATAGGTCATCTTTAAGAGAACTGCATTTATGTCTTAACCTGGTATGTATAATATTTAGTTTTCTTTCGCCATACTTATAATAGCAAGGTTGACTAGTAGGAATATTTTGGGATAGAGCGAATTTAAAGGAGGGAAGAGGTAGAGACTTTATACTTTCGTCTAAAGAGTTCCAGTTTCTTAAAGCGGAGGGTAGGAAAGATTTGTTAGTAGTAGAAAGCCGATAATTCGGAACCCTGTATCTGTCATTGTTTCGTAAAACATATCGATTGATGTCACCTACTCTGGGGGGTAATAGATTAGAAAGATAGTTTGGAGTCATATTGTTGTGCATTTTATATATAAGTTGTAATTTTCCTTTAGATCTTCTTTCGGAAAGTAATTCTAGTTCAAATTCTACATATAGAGATTCATTTTTCACATAAGATGGTAATCCGGTTATTATTCTTGCTGCTTCGCGCTGAGCTCGCTCCAACTTTTCTGAATCTAATTGCGAACACTCATCCCAAACCTCGCAAGCATATTCTAGAACAGGTAAAATAAAACATTTGTATATTCTTAATAGTGCGTCTCGTTTTAAAATATACTTAACTTTTCTTAAAACGTTATAAACATATAAAGATAATCGAGGATGAGAGAAGCAACAACAAAAAATCAAAAAGATGCTACATTACAAAACACTTCAGCTTTTTAACAACGTGGAATTAATATAATATGTTCAGCGTTCAGGATTGCAGCGAACATTATTGAAATGTTTTATCTGACACTTTGACAATAAACGAGAAAAAGTCCAATCTAAACGATATTAGGTCTTTTACGTTAGTAAAAAAAACTCTTGTAGTTCTAAAGGAACAGCCCCTAGCAAAGTAGCAATAAATAATCACATTCTAAAATGTCAACATATACATATACAGTAACTGGATAGTGATTCACAATGTTTGTAAGGAAAACATCCCGTAGATCTACAATATCGGGATGGCGACAATCAATACAAGAATGTGCTGAAGCATCTTCAGCATAACAATTACATTTTAAACATAATAGTTCACAATCCGGACTAATTTTCCATAACTTTGCAACTTTTTGACAAAGTAAGCCATATCGAACATTTAAAAACCGCCAGAAAAAAGTAAAGTGGCGACGGTACTAGAGAAATCTGAAGATTTGTGAAACGACTGAAATCATAAGATTGCACAACGATCCTGAAAAAATGAGTTTACATTGATCTACTCTTGCGGAAAGGGATGTTAAACCCAACATTCTTAAACAGATGTCTAGTACGTAAAGGAAAGCATTGAATCAATTTTACATATGAATTTTGGATCTTTTCTAAACGACTCCAATCCGCACTGGAGAGAAGAAACCTCAGTTCACAACTGTATTGACCACGTGGTAAAATGATAGATCTATAAAGTCGTAAACCGACTAAAGGGTTGATATTCTCTCCTATCAGATTGGAACCGAGAAAACCAAAACATGAACTTCTAAACTTGTGCACGACATTGTCTATGTTAGGACGACCTAGTTTATATTTGTCAAGGTAGACACCAACGTGTATGATATTTTCTACTTCATTTACTATCGAACCAAGTAACCATTTGCGTTTAGATCTTGAATACATCGTTTTCGATTCATTAAATACAATTATACCGGTTTTGGAAGCATTATATGTAAACCTCCATTTACAACTGTACATGAAACACATATTCCTTAATTTATCTAGACTACATTTGTTAAACGCCAATGATAACATATCATCTACACCTATCAGCCAGTATATATACACTTTACCTAATTCCCACAAATGGTACAGCCCAACTCCCCTCTGACAGAACTTCAATACAGGTAGCGCATTGATAACCAGTTAGGATCAGGTAAAACAAAGAGAGGTGCATCACTGACCTGACTGGGCCCTTGTTAACATTGACAATAGAGGGATTAATTCCCTTTTGTTCAGGCACGGAATTAGATTGTTATCTAAGTCCGTGGTTTAGGGGAGTGAAATCGGTGCAATTTGGGTAACACCCTCAGGCCTACATCTATTGAAATTGCTGGCTAAAGGAAGCCATAGAAATCATTGGACCAACTTTTTTTTATTAGAAATTCACATATATACTCCTTTATTTCCTCCAGAATGAAGATTATAATCATAGAGCATCACAATACAATCATCAGGTAAACATCAATTATCAAAATTATTATACATATATATTAAAATAAATTTATGTTGTTAACATATTAGGGCATGTAGTTTAAGCTAGCAGTATCAAGCCCTTTTGATTATTTGACAATAATCAGCATAGATAAAGTAAATGTGTCATTTGTAATATGATATTATCATTCGAAAAAATAATTTAACAGACGTCATACGGAACTCTTCTAGGTCCGAGTTACACGAATTGTAAGAAAAATTCACCCCGGTCAGAACATGAAATAATTGACTTTCGCTTAAGTCGTGAAAATAAACACTGAACAATACATCGCTAATATTAATGATATAACACCAAAATTCGTCCCTTAATTCGTCAGTAGAACTACACTGCAAAACTATGTGGATGGCAACATCTTTATAAAACTGACCACATTTATGACATAATTCATTATGAGTCAACAACCTCATGGTAACAATTAATTTCATTATGTAATAAACAGCTTCTCT